TTGCTGGCTACTTCAGTGCCAAACGCTGGCAGGGGTGAGATAGACAGGGGCTTCTGTGCTGGAGGAACAGCTGCTGTAGAATATTTCTGAGACTGAAAAATAAAAGAAAAATTGCAGGAGCTTCTCAGAAGCAGGATTTCTCATTCTGTAATGGCGCAATCGGTTTCTGCAACCGTTTCCTTATTATATTGCTTCAACAAGTACTCTATTGCGCCCAGGGACAAAGAACTGCTATGGCCCAACTTTTCACACCTGGAAGAGACAAATTCTGGCATTGGGCCCCTTAGGAAATGGTGTAAGCCATTATGTTCAGCACAGGCCCCTGAACTCCACTCAGTCACTCTGGGGAGCAAGGCCTAGGGCAGAGAGTGATGAAACTACCACCAGCACCAGCAGTGGGTTTTCCGGCACCCCCTCGGCACAGAGGCAAGCCAGACAGGCAAACAGATGATAACAATTTTCAGGAACTGACAAGGTCTGGATTCAAATGGAGGCCAAGAGGTGAAAAGGACTCACGAGCTCACACGTTCTCTATCTGGAAGCTATTTGTCAAGTCCTGAAGAGACAGGCAAGGGCAAAGCCCAGCTGTTCTGGGGATATGGAACTCTCACCCTGGAGCCATTAGCAGCCCAAAGCCCAGACCCCAGTGTACCAGGGGTCACACACTGGTCCTTGGTCACGTGTGGCAAGTGCCATCTTGCAGCCTCTGTGCAACCAGTATCGGCCCAAAGAAAGTTTTCAGTGCCACTCGCTACCAGGCCCAGTCCAACCAGAATGCCAGTATTTAAATATACAGTGTAAGGACTGTTGGGCTTGATACTACACAGCTAAGCCCAGATCAGGGCTCACACTGTACCCAGGCCACTTTCAGTGTCAAGCCAAGACAAAGTTCCACTTACCCATCGTGCACTGAAACTACTTGCCCACCAAAGGGATGCAGTGTCTGCAATGAGAAATCCACATTTTATCACAGGATGTGTTTCTTGTCTTCTGTGCTCTCCTTTTTCAACCTAGCATCTCAAAGCATTTTAAATAATGCATTAAGCCTCCATTACACAATAGTATTGATATTATCTACTCATATATACAGGCAAACTATGGCAGAAAGGTTTTGCAACTTACTCAGAACTACATAGTGACTTTGTAGCATAACTGGAAATATATCCATGTACCCAACCTCTCTGCCTTGCACTTTAAGACAATGCCTTCCTTACCAGCCACCTACCCACTCACAAATAAGGACAGTTTGGATTGCTCATCATGCCAGCCCAAAGCAGCTTTCGTCCAAGAGAGATCTCTTACGATCTCTCTCCCTGCAAGTGCTACACTGACTTCTCAAGGTGCTGAAAGTAGATTTCAAAGAAGCTCCAGGCAATCACACTGAACAGCATGGGAGAATGGACTCTCTACTTCCTTTCTATCTGTTTACACAACGTGTCAAGACTAGTTAGTCTTATCCCCTGAGAACAAGCTCAGCAGCTCCAAGGAGTCTTTGTGACACCCTGGACTTCCTTATACCTCAGCTGACCCTTGCGTTCCCTGGTGCTTCCACCTTGACCCAAAAGATGTTCCTGCTCTCCTTGACCTCAAGCTCTTAGCACTGGCAAAAGCCAGATCTGCTGCAGTTAACAAGGTGGCAGCAGCCACAATCTTTCTAGGACATGCACAGGCTTCATTAAATAGTAAGTGGCTGGCAACTGGGCCTGCATGTAATGACACTGCTGTCTAAGGACCATGATCAAAGGGTGGCTGGGAGAGGGCATTCACTGCAGCAGTGTGGGTGTCTGCATGAGCCAGGGTATTTCTGCCCAATTAGAGAAAAGAAAGGAAGAAGTCTTCTGAGCTAATTTTCTAGTCCTTTGGAGGGGTGAAGAAAATCACACATTGAATTGCCCTTGTTCAGCCTCAATAAGGAATAGGCTGGGTGGCCAGCCGACCAGCCAGCCAGGGTGGGAAATATACCTGCCAACTGTCCAAACTCATGGCTGGGGAACAAAAGGGCAGAATCACACTGTCCCATGAAGCTGGAAAGGCATGGCCTGGCACCTAACCAGAAGGGGACTTTTTAAACCTGCTTCTGTGCAGCCTTTCCTGCCGAGGGAGGCTGAACAGAAAGGCCCAGACAATAAAGATTTCTGTTTATCCACAGGCCATGGAGGTAAAAGCACAGCAATTGCCTAGACCCTTAAAAGCACACAGATTTCCCCCAACCCACTTGTCTCCCAAATTTGCTCCCCTTCCTTATCAAAAGGCACCAAGTCACTGGAATGCAGAAAGACTTTTGGACATCACATACCACTGATCCATGGACTTCCTACAAAAGCTGCCTTGTCCGTTCAATCCTAAGAATAGCTTAAGCATCCCAACACAGAGCTGCTCAACACCACAACTCTCTGGACCAATCTTCTATTACCATCCAACAAAAACAGGATTTGATGCAAAGGCAAAGCACTTCGCATTTCTTCATCCACCGCTGAGTGACCCATACTGCATCATGCACCAAAAAGTGTCGTCTTGTCTCAGAACACCTTGTGCTTCTGGCACAAATTAATCTTGCCTGGTACTCTGTCATCTATCCACTCCACAGAGCTGCAGGAGCAGGAAGTAAGGCTCAGGGACAAGGGTGAAAGCCATGTCTGCTGCTCAAAAAAGTTGCCATATGATCAAGCTTTTATGCTGTATTCTCATGGCCAAGCACATTATAGCAAGAATAAGAATCACAATGAAAGAATAGCTTGATGTTCAGAGCCCAGACGAAGACTTTGAGTCATCAGTTTAATATTATCATTCCTCATTTGCATTGTTTACCTGACTAAAAAATACATGATAGCAAGTGCTGCCCAGGTGGTTAATAAGAGGCATTTTTGTTGCAGAATGAAAACGGACCAAGAAACACATGCCCTGGTCCCATTTTACAGGTGGGGAATAAAAGTACTGAACAAAACCTGCTCAGCTTCATATAACGATTTTGTGACAGAACTCGAAACAAAACTCAGATTTCTGATAAGAAATGAGATCACTGATTTAAGTAAACTGATGGGAATCCAAGCGTCAGTTTAAGATTGAATCTGCAACACTACTGTTATTTCTGTCATTATTTTTGTAGCAGAAACAAGTACAGGTAGCAAGCAAGAAGTCATCATAAAGCTTCAAGATATTACTGGTTGAAAATTAACCAACTATAAAAATAATACAAATGGCCACTGTTACAATATTCAGGCTACACCTCACACCTCACTTTGCATGCTCCCCTTCTCCTCCCCCTCATCCAAAAAAAAAAAAGTACACTTTTAAATTAAAACCACTAGCTGAATATACTTTCTTTATAACAGGGATTCCACAACCTAGAAGCGTTAATGAAATCTACAGTAAAAACATTATTTAAAAAGCACACCACCACCACTCCAGATCTCAACTTCTTTTGCAAAAATTTGACACAATTAATCCGGAAATGTAAAAAGCAAATAGACCAGAAAGCAAATCATTCTCAGAAGGTTTCCCAGAAAAACCACAACTGTTTGGAAAGTTTATTTAAATTAGCCCCTAACCTTCACCAACATACTCCCAAACAAACTGCTGAAAAGAACTTAAGGCAGAGCAGGTAGATGTCATGCCTGGGATCCAATTCAGAGAAAGCACCTGGGCCAAAAGGATCATTTCTCCATTTACTCACATGCACTCTGAAGAAAAGAAGGCTGGGCACAGGCTTACCAGCTTTCTCCTCTCATTAGGATGTGAGACTAATTAAAGTCTGTCAGTATCAGTAGAAGATTTGGGTGATGTGAAATGCAAGACTGGGCCTTTTGAATGTTCTGTGAGCAGAAACTTGGCTAGAAGGGGGAAGAGGGGGTGAGTAAAACTGTACTGAAGCCACAAGTCTTTGTACTATGTATTCATGGGATGTATGCTGCCAGCAGGACTGAGAACAAGCAGCAACGAAATGGGGAAATGGAGGGGTCTCACTTTTACAGATCTTGGAAAATAAATACATAGTCCTTTCTTTTAGTGAGTCCATCTTGTAGGCTTAAAGGGGGTAGTGTTAATGAGGTTAAAACTAGTACATCCAACCAACCAGTGGCAGCGAAATTCTTCCCTAATGAGAGGAAATTCAGAACTGAAAATAAATGTCTTTTAAGCTAATGCAATTTACCAGGGTCAGCAGATGTCTGCAGATACTCTTTCAAACTGACACTACACCAGTGCAAGGAGAAAAATAACTAATGAAGGGCAAGCTGAAATACTAACTTTACAGCAATGCCTTCTGAAAGAGAGGCACCAGATGGGCACTGTGCAGGGCAGCCCACCCCACCAGTACCAGGCATGCCCCATTTCCCAGCCCCTGCAGAGATGAGAGAAACTCCTAGAATTTACACATCTCTATCCCAGACCCCTACAGAAGTCCTGCAAAATCAAGAGTAATTGGGTCTAGAGAAAACTGTAAGTACCTTGTGTTTGTAAAGTGTTAAGAAGGCAGAAAGCACTGTTCTACATTGCTGTAAAACTCCAAGGAGGCATAAAGAGACCTGGGCCTAAGGAGGTCAACAAGGGTGGAAATACCTACCAAGTCTGCAGCTACTTTCATCACAAAGGTATTTCTTTATAAACCTCTAAGCAATTAATTCTGGAGTAAATGATATGGGCCAGATAATGGCAGCAGGGGTAACCTGACAAAAAGTGAACTCCAGTGACTTGTTCCTCTGTCATGCAATGAACCAGACGTTGCAGGTGCTGCCTTCATAATAGGGGTAGCAATAGAACAGCCCAACTGTAGCAAGAGCCACTCAAGTAGCAGCAGCTTTACTTCTCAAGAGAGGTATCTACACGTACGCTTACTTTATCCTAGACAGACAACAGAAGTACCAATTATGCCCTTGAAGATGTGATGACAAGAAGCAACCCTATGAATTTACTGAACTCTGCCTCAAGAATCCTTTTCTGTCTTTGCTTACAACATCTACTCTCAAGTGATGCTGCTTTCCTCATAGGAGGTTCTGCCTTACCTGCTGCATTTTTTCCAGGTCAAGGCTGGGCCTGCTGACCTTATCCCCGTATCCTTGCCGATGTCTCTTACAAGGCATGACTTGCTCAAGGCCTGCCCCAACACTTGTTAAGATTAAAGGTCTGGAGGCTGGGCTCCGCACCAGGGGCTGGAGTCTCTTGGGAGGGGAGGCACTGAACGGCACCGGGCTCGGGCTGGCTTGCAGGCTATCGGCCTGCTCTGCCACAGGCCGGAAGGACATCGCACACAAGTTCTTTACTTCTTCGTCACTGGAGGAGGTGTTGTTGCTGTCACTGCAGCAGGCAAGCCTGCTGACCTGGGACCACTTCCGTTTCTCAGCAGCGAACTCTCGGTTGATACGCTCCAGCTCCTCTTCTGAGCTGTGGCGGTCAAGGCTGGCGTGGAAGAGGGCACGAACCTTGCAGCATTGGTTCTCCTGGTTCTGGAGCTGGTTGGTGGCCAGAGGGGTCAAGGTACAATTCCGTCTTCTCTCTGGTGGGAGGAGGAGATAGAGGAGTGGCACAGCAGATCTGTGTCCCATGCCCTAATAAACTGGGCCTACTTCCTCCTGACCTGTTTTTATCATCTCCTCCCTACTATACTTCTGAATTGTTTTCCCACCTTTTCTTACCCAGAAGAAACACCCCCCCAGGATGAATGCTTCCCTTTGGAAGTTTCCAGACCTTTGTTTAGACCAGACTGATAGGCATTCCCTCACAAACTGTCACCTGGAAGTCTAGTTGCAGAGCAAGAACATGGACCTGCCACACACCTCAACCCCTGAAAAAGGAGAAGACATGATCTTACAAATGTGCTGTCAGGCACTTGCTTCTAGCTAAAAACATTAAGTTCTAGTGACCAGTTCTCAGGGAAGAGGAGACAAGTTACATTATTCTAAACAGCACGTCTGTGGCTCAAATAATAGAGATCTGGTTTCTGGAGGGAGAAGTTCTCCTCCTATTACAAGGCTTGTCATAAAAGAGAGCCTGCTTTCAGCTGTAAACTGGGCACACTTTACCTGTTCTGCTGAGATCTTTCTATGTTAAGCACAAGGAGCCAGGATTTGAATTTCGACAGGATGTGTCCTGTGGGTCAGGAATTTAACAACTTCTGCCTTTGTGTAAGAATCCACTTGAATTTGGCTAAACAACAATAAAACACAGGCCATGCACAAATGGCTCAACAGATGCATTTATGACAGGTTTCACCTGCAGTTTTAAGCTGCTTCATACCAGGTCCAAAAACAATAGCAAAGCACCTGTCTCTCCTCTATCAAAGACCCTCAGCTAGATTCAAGAATAGGGCTGCCCAATACCAACAGTACAGGAGGAAAGGAGTGAGCTAATCAGACAATGGGTCCAGGGGAATAAGGAAAGTGAGTATCAAAACATCAAGGAAGATGAAACCTAGAACAAAGATGACACAGCTGCACAAGCATGGAATAAAAGATAAATTCTCAGTCCCAGTTATGCTGCTGGCCCAATTGTAGACCTCCTCTGCCCTATGTATGCAGCACTGGCACCTTATCATGTGGTTAATAATGTCTGTCTCTGGTAAGAAAAGTACAACTTGCAGCATCTGATAACAATAGCTTCTCCCTGTGAGGTCTCAAAGACTTCAAGGTGACTTATTTAATGCATCTGGTTGTGGTACGTTAGGGACAGAGGAGGCAGCACTTCCAAGAACACAAGTGAAAAGCAAAATGGACTTCAGCTGTAGCATCCCAGGACCCTCCTATCTCATCCCATTACCTCTGTCAATCTGAGCAAGTTCCTGGTTCTCTCCCTCAGAGTCATCGCTGTCCTCATCACTTGGGGGGTAGGAGATCTAGGGGGCAAGGAGAAAGAAAAGTCTTCATCATAAACATTGAACACTGCCTTGCTGCTACCCAAGCCACTTCCCCCCACCCTCCCCCTCTCATATCCTGCAGGCTTCCACCCCACCTAACCGCACACACACAGCCGTATCACCTCTGTATACACATCCTCATCTCCCAACCTCAAACTCCCATTATATCTCTTACTTGCAGCAACACAAAACACACAGCCTACCACTATTTCCACTTTACTGCACCACCAACTTTCCCAAGCACAACGAACATACCCCACCCTTAGCCCCTCAGACCCACACCTTATAACCATCATGGCCTACCACATCCACACCACGTGGACAACTGAATCTCCAAAACCCACTGCCAAAATAAAGACGCATCCTGTCAACAGCACTATCATCTTGCAAAGCACCCACAAATGGAAGTGGCATGTTAACTTTAGCCATTCTATGTGTGTACCCACACTCCCCTCTTGAAGGCACACACACACACAAGCCAAAGAACAGACTTGTCTTGCTTTCCTACAGGATAACACTGAAGAATGTAACAGAAATAAAAGAAACAATATTTCACAGAAATGCAAACAACATTATGCTGTCCCAGCTCAGAATCTTACACTACCACTGAACACCCTTAAATGCACCAAGAGTAATGACAATTCACGTATTTTGTCTACCAGGAATTTTCAGGAATATTTGCTCTGGGTCAGTCAATGGATTCACCAAACAACTAGCTGTACACCCAAATACCCACTTACTCAAAACATATTCTAACTCTGAACAAACTTGGTAGCTGCCTCTTGAGTAGGGTTGAGATCTGAAACCAAGCTTCTGTGGGTCAGATAGATCCTACTGCTGCTGAGCTGTCTACATAAAGGAAACCCTTCCTTCCTTGACCCTAAAGTGACTTGTTCTGCTGCATAGAGCATACCTGGAAGTTATAAGATCAAACCTTTGAGCTATACAGCTTATTTGTTTCTGTCAATGGACAAAACCAAATGAGTCACAGGAAAATGCAGTATTTCAAAAGAAACTTTTATAAGAAACAGTTCTGGAATAACATGATTACTGCAAGAAGAGCTTTATTATTCCTTACATCTTTTTATTCAGAACAATAAACATTTCCATCATTCTTAGCCAACTCTCACAAGCTACTTGCCCACAACAGAATCCAGTGCCAAGAAGTTTCAAAAGGTTACATGATATGTTTCCATTTTAAACATGTCTGATGTGCTGTACTTGACTTCTATAGATGAGGCAGCATGCCACCATTACACTGATATGGACCCATTTCACTTCCACCACTGTTCCTAGGGAATTGTCCTTGAAGTGTTTAAGCTTCCCAGAGACCCAGAAGAGCAACTACACTTAACTAGGTGCCTATGAAGACACATACAGCTGATGCAGAGAAACAGGAATAGTGGAGAAATTCTGACTGATATTGAATTTGACAGATATTAAGGCAACACACCTATTTTGTGGCCATCCTCCAGGATTCTGTTTGGGGATTTTGCTCCCCCAAAAGCCCGTTCACACCTTTTTTTCTCCTAATTTTTTAAAGCTACCTTTTGCCCTTCTATATTTACATCGTGCTTTAAGAAATCAGAAAACATTTTCCTTCCTTGATAGTTTTTAAACTGCTATGCCAGATGTCAAATGATGAATAGGCATAGTGGCATAGATTTATCCCCATTGCAGATATTCTTGAAGTAAATGCAGGAGGTTGTTTTTCCCACCACAACTACAATTTTCTTGTACGTATTCACACACATGCATCATTTAATAAAGGCAGCTGGCACTGAGGAACACTGCCAAATTAACAGACTTCTAGTTGTCCCCAGAACAGGTATAATACCTTGTTTGTGCCGTGGTAGTTCATAGAGGGGACAGCTGACACTGAGGTGCCATTGTGCTAGCTGCTGTACAGACAGACAGTGGTCCTGTCTTCGTTACAAAAGCTAAGGCTCCAATTCTAACTCAAGAGGTACTGACCTTAGTCTGTGGCTCATTCGCACATAAAAACCTTTCATTTGGATGTGGCAGGGTTTTCAGTGAGGTTTAACAGCTCTGTGTGGGAAACCCATCAGCTCCAGTTTTTGTACTATGTAAATGTCAATGCATGGCATGGCGCTACTTCCAAAAAGAGGCAATGACATCTAGCACATGCAGGTCAAAGAGATACTGTACAATGTCACTGGCTTGAGATGATCAAGGCAGGAGTTGGATTTGAGTCAATGATTGACATTTTGAAGGTCTGTGTCTACCAGTCCAGGGCTTCCAAAATATTCACTCCTCCATGTACAAGTATAGGTTTCCTAGGCCCTAGTCTCATATGGGTAACTATCCTCTGCTTAAATCCTCCCCAGTCACACATGCAGCCCAAGAATAATCCCCTGTGAGTTGCCCCAAACACTTCTCCGGAGGCTTTGTTCAAAATACCTGAGAGAAAACTCAGACAAGAAGATACTGAGTCTGTGGATTTGGTCCCATAGTATATACCTAAGAAATTAAAGTGATAGAACAATACGAAAGGCTTCATGGAAAAAAGGGGCTCCCACAGTCTTGCTAATCATCCTCCTGATGCTAGCCATAGAAAAGTGAGCACCCACACTTTAACCAACTATATTTTTTATGAGCAACATGCCAAATGCTTTTCAGAATCAAGGCAATTAGGGACACAAATTGAGCCACTGTTCCTGACATCTACCTTTTCTTTTGAAAGAACATACCAGCAGCGCATTTCTCTCAATATTTAGACTCAATTTCTCCCATTATTCCTACTGGTTTCATTATACCCCTGTTCTAGACAATACCCTCAGAAATTAGAATATTTTCATAATATACATCACAGGCTAGACATAACGAAGTCTTAAAATCCAGCAGTTGTGCATTCTGTGCATGAATGAAGTAAACGGATAATACTCAGAAGTCACATTGCCTCTGATGTTCCATGACCTGCACTGCCTTTCAGAAGTCCTCCCATCTCTGATTTTGTGTGGGTTACATACATGGAAATACCCTCCTGCTTTGTCTTCAGTCTTTCAGAGACATCATCATTTTCCTCGCATTTGTTGTTTAGCAAGGTCTTCTATTTTAGTATTGTTACATACTCATTTTTATTAGTAAATCTTGCCACAAGTTATATCATTTTTGTCAGAACTGAAGCCTCCCAAGCTCCTGAGACCCTAGTTCCCATGCTCCCTAACAGAGAATCATCATTCATAGCAGACTAACCATTAATGTTGCAGAGTTGAAATTTTACACATGAAACTCCTTGTCATAATATACCACACAGGCAAAAATTAATGGAAGATGAAAAAATGATTGTCTGTCTGTATGGACAACAAGAATTTCCAGAAATTATAAAGATACATGGAATCAAAGACTAATGCTCTGACTAGTTGGAGATAAATGCTCTCTCTCCCTTGACTCTTCCCAGGCTTTAACAGAAACACTTTCCTCTCTTCAAAAGCATTCCACTAAACACAGTGATATTGTGTTCAAGCCTCCAGCCTCCCTTGCACAGTCCCCGTCTTATATTAGCCACAAATTTACTTTTGTCTGAGGCAGCACAGCCTTGTTTTCCTCACAGACTCAGAATTGTGGCACTGCTATAGCAGAAAACTTGATCTCCATGTCAAAGATCCCACTAGATCATGACTTCAGCATACCAATCACAGAACTGTTTAGATTGGAAGACATCTCTTGGTATCATCTAGTACCAAGTCTCTGTTCAAGCTGGGTCAGTTAGAACAGGTTGCACAGGACTCTACCCAGTACACTTCGTACCTTAATGTGCAAAATTAGAAAAGAAAATCTCCAATTCACACAGATGTTTAAAATCCATGGCACAAAGCAAAACAGAAAAAGGATGGGCACCCATCCACCCTCCAGTCTTTCTTCAGGTAATGCATCAGACCTGAAGTTCAAAGACAGCAGCCTCCTGTTGATGAGGATCTTAGTCTTACACCTGGGTCCTTCAGCTCCAGCACCAGACATGCCTTCTGTCATGCTAAGGACTCCTACAGTGCCAGATGGAAACATGGACAAACTTCCCCATGCGTGTGATTTTGCATCCATCTCCAATAAGGAAAGATGGATTTGTATAGAATAACCAGATACTATTTAAGGAGAACTGAATGTAAAGCTTATACCTTTAAGGGAGTTTTGACATATTAAAGACAAACTAGCAGATATAAAAAGAGGGGGAAAAAAAAAAAATCTGTCTTTCTCATCACACTGCTGCTTGTCAACGGAGTAACGATAACTAGCTGCAGCCAGAATCACCCAGGTTCTAAAGGGTCCTGTTACCTCTGGAGTCTAAAGTCCTGAAATACACGTGATAATACAAAACCTCCACCCTGTTAAAGTGGAGTTCCTCTTAGTTTTGCTTACAGAAGAGAAATTAGCCTGCTATCATATGATCAAAAGTAATTAAATTAAGAATCATCTGGGAGTTTACAAAAGAGAAAGGAATCTTACTTCTAAGGCAGAACAAATCTCTCCCAACAGGCTTCACTTAATGGCTGTACTGTCCTAAATAAAACAAATACACCAATGGGGTGGTTTGGTGCAGTGGAGGGTGTGTGCGTGAGGAACAGCAGCGAAGACAAAGATACAACTGACCACAGGCAACTCCCAGTTCCAAGCTTGAATCAAGAATGCACACAGGCTGGAGGGCATCATTCCCAATCTCCCTCGGGGAGGGAGGGAGTTTACCTCCAGGGAGGTAGCTTCCCCGGCAGAGGCCAGTGCTGCCTGTGCTGCTGCATATGAGGCTGTTTGCAACACAGGCTCATTCACTTGAGCCCAGGCACTCCAGGGAATCTCTGCAACTATGTAAAGCCCCTTGCAAGTGCCTTGGAAAGAGACTTCGCTGAGTTGGTCTTACTCATTGGTTCCTGGCACAAAAGCAGAAAGGGATGATGAGCTCACCAACGACTACTGATATCTCTGCTATGGGGAACTGAATTTCATTTCCTCAGACTTCAGATTGG